TATACTTTTTGTAGTAAAATATTGAAATGAAAGTAGTAGCACAGCTTATACAATACAGCTCCACAACTCCGTGTCGGCGCCTTTGATTTGGTGGTCGAGAACCAAGCAAGACGGAATGGTGCTATCTCTGTTAGATTCGACGGAAAAGTCGGGCCCGGATTAAAAAATATTTTTATTATTGAAATAATAATTGACGTTGGCGTAATAAGGTTAGTTACATGCCACATTAAGTAAGTTTTGAGAAATTAAGTTTTAAATTTGTTTTAAACCTGTCAAATATAATTAAAAAAATTATTTAAATATAAATATTACGAAAAATAGTGTTCTCACTACCTAAAATGGATATGAAATATATTCGCAATAGCATACTTTTTCGTTTTGTAGTCTGTGCGTAGATTAGCTAATATCCATGTGGGCTTAGAAAAATTATTTTTTCTACACTCACATCGATATTACCTTATCTACGCACAGATTACAAAACGAAAAAGTATGCTATTGCCTTCAACTGAACGAATATATTTCATATCCATTTTAGGTAGTGAGAACACTGCAAAAAAATTAAATATGCCAATCACCGTTCATATTTTGATCAACCGACTACTATTATTTTTAAAAATTTAAATAAGTGACACTAAGTCAAACTAATTGTCAGTATATTTTTTAGTTATTGAGATTAAACATACATTTAAAGGTTATTCTTTTGGAAAACGTTGGCATGGATGACTAAAGGGTATTGGGTTAATTAATTCTAAAAGTGTGGTACAAATGTTATTTTTTGTAGCCAATTCTTTAAAATTATTTTGAAATATCTTTTCAATATTGAAAATTAGTTCTACATATTCATCATTTGGCAGTTGCGGATTTCCGAATGTATCTGAATTGGCGTTATAATATGCCTTTAAAAAGCAATAAAAAGAAAAATCATTTAATTCATCGTGATCTTTGTTATATTTAAGACAGGTATTACAGGAGTGGATCCGTAAGGCTTTTATTGAAAGGTAACCACACACGTACCTAATAAAATTTTTCTGTAGCAACTCATCTTTACAATAATTTAGGCTGTTAATAATTACATCATAAAATAAAATACAGGGTGTTCCATTTAAAAAACATACATTTTAATTTGCCAGGCAAAAACGCGACACCCTGTATATCCAAAGATATTTTTAAAATATGTATAGGTATTTTTCAAATCCATATTACTTTTGAAGAGGTTGAGTGGTGTGTACACACTGGGTAATAAGAAATGAATGTAACGTATTTAAAGTGTGTAGGTAGTTTTATTAATATTAATAAAAACTCAGTAAAATTAGTCTTAGCGCTTTCAGCCGGTTAGGCCATCATCAGAGACTTTGTCAGTAAATATAGAAGGTGCATGAAAATTAATTATTTAAAATTTTATTTATTATATTCAAAGGGCTGCCACAATACGGTCCCTGGTTCTCAACCATAACTTGAGGCTTGAAACGAAGCAAAACCAATCCTAACAGGTGGTTGAAAATTGAGAAGAAACGTGGGGGCTCATCCCAACACGTGTAAATAAACTGTCTCAACCTTTCCAAAAAAAAAAAAAAATTCTACGTTTTACGATTACCTGTGCCCCAACTTGCCTCCGCCTCACGGTAGCTATTTTGAAAGGGCAGCTGGCTTCAAGCTGAAGTTCAGTTTTTTCCATCTCTCTTCCTTGGAAAGGTTGAGACAGTTTATTTACACGTGTTGGGATGAGCCCCCACGTTTCTTCTCAATTTTCAACCACCTGTTAGGATTGGTTTTGCTTCGTTTCAAGCCTCAAGTTATGGTTGAGAACCAGGGACCGTATTGTGGCAGCCCTTTGAATCTAATAAATAAAATTTTAAATAATTAATTTTCATGCACCTTCTATATTTACTGACAAAGTCTCTGATGATGGCCTAACCGGCTGAAAGCGCTAAGACTAATTTTACTGAGTTTTATTAATATTAATAAAACTACCTACACACTTTAAATACGTTACATTCATTTCTCATATTACTTTTATTTAAAACTTTTTTGCGTGTCTACAACACAAATATTGAACAATTACGTACTAATGGGACACCCTGTATAAATTATATTTTTAACAATGAAAATTTCTTATAATGTGGTATTTATCGGTTTGGGCCCTTGGGAAAACGAAACAATGTTTTCTTGCAGGTATAACCCTTATTAAAACAGAGTCACCAAAATAATAACAGTACCTTTAACTTAACACAACAGAGAGTGCTCAAACAAAATCAACGAAATTATAGGCTCAACGAAATTATGCAATCAACGAAATTATACGCACGGCCCAATACCTTACCTAAGTACGTTTCTGAACGCCAAAGCCGTCTTTTCCGTCCGAAGGCGGAGCTTAAGCGATGCGCGACGGAATCGACGCAAACCGTTGCCGCCAAGAGAGTGTTTTAGCTGTATTGTATAAGCTGTGGTAGTAGTATCGAAACAAAAGTAGTACCCATATGAGTAAAGTATCGAAAGCAAAGTATCGGGTACTAAATTACCCGGTATCGAAAGAAAAGTATCAATACCAGTATCATATCAGTAGTATCGGAACATCCCTAATAACGTCGCCAGTAAACGGCCGCCTGGCTGCTGGGGGATAACTGTCGAGTATGCACCGTTGACTGTCTGTGTCACATACTTTGATTTTCTGTGGTCTATAACGACAGATATTTCCACAATCCCAACGCAGCCAGGCCATGCGCTAGTTCAGTGATGATGTAATTATGGTTCCATTGACAATTAAAGTGACAGTAGATTTTTTGAGTGCGTTTTGTTCGTTTTGTTTACCTAAATTATATCGTTTTTTCACTTTTATATATTTCTAAAGTAAGTAGATAGCATGTATCAAATATACAATCGTTTAGTTACCAATTACATACCTTCAAACTATTTTTTATGACCTGTAAACAATATTTTGAAATAAAATAAAAACAGTAAAAACGTATATGTCAAATTTATTAATGTTTTTGTTAAAAGTTTGGTTAGAATTAAATGTTTCACTTCGACACTAGCAAATCGTATTAGAGGGTTTTAAATAGCCGATATTGTATATGAATAAATTATTAAATATATATACAGAGTTGCGCGAAAGTCCGGAATAAAATTATTAACTGCTTAACCAGTAACTTGCAAATAGTGAAATTCCATTTTCCCTACAAACGACATATCTTTGCATTTAAATGTACTTAATGTAGGAATTTACATCTGTTTCGTATTGTCAATATAGATTTACTAATTGCAGTCCTGGAAAAAATATTGCTTATCTCAATCATTTCATCTTATTGGCTTTCCAATTTTTGCCGTTTCTAACACACTTTCTTGCGTATTTTTTATCTAGAGGAGGACAAGAGACCTCCATTTTATAGATTTTCAATAAACAATTCTTATTGTTTTGTTATTATATACTAAAAAACAGTAATTAACTAAGCAGGTGTTGTTACAAACCGACTACAGCTACCATACTGGTTTAACTACTTTTTATTGGCTGAAAGTGACTTTGCTACTTTTATTATGTCAAATCTGGAGATTGCTGTTTCTGATACAAACTTACAACTTTGCTGAATTGTTTTAACGGCTTATTTCTGTTTTTGTTACAAAATAAGATCTGATATTTCAATAAACAAACATTCCAAATCGGTACAACACAAAAAGCTTCAATCGGAAAATTGGGAGTTTACTGCTTTTGATATTAGACCCCTGATATAACAGTTGTATTTAATAAAATAATATGTTTTTTTGATAAGGTAAGTAAGTATATTTAATGTTTATTGACCTAAACCTCTTACTAATTAATACCAACTACTAAGGCTTCTAGCAGTTGAGTGGAGACGAGTGCAGAATTCTTTCTGTCTTCATTTCTTCCCATGTAGCATCGTAGAAGGTTTAAATTGTGATAATACAAGTTTTTAGTAGACTGATCTGATTAAAATACCACAATTTCTGTTTGTAAAACTTATTTACTTGCAAGTACTGAGTTCCTCACCTTACCTGACAGCGAGGGGAAAGAGGAGATTAAAAGGTTCCTGTCAGGCGAACGAGGGGGTATATAAGATTAAACGGTGGATTTTAAAATAATCTATTGGAAAATATATGTTTATTAATTTGTTATATAATCATTTACATTTTTTAATAGTTACGTCAAAGAAAAATTCTGAATTGTGAATATCACAAATTTTTGCGGTTTATGTTACCTGAAGAGTTCTGAAATCTGGATGTTATAGCTGATTCTTGTAGAAGCTTTAGAGGAATATTCTTGATATTAGAATTTGAAAACGTTAAAAAAATTCTTTGTTCAAATATTTGAGTATTAGATGTACAATTTGCTTATATCTGGCTCGTTATTCTTTTTTTCTCATAAAATATTTTATAACAACCCCAATCTCTTAACTCATGGCGTTGGTAAAAGAATGATGAATAAAAATGTTTTTTAAAATTGTCGGTGACTACACGTCCTCACAAACAGACGATGTTTTGAGGCCAATCAGAATTTCAAATCTCCACCCGCTCCAACATTAGCGACTTTGTCAGAGATAATTTCTTACTTCCGGTGTTACTGTGTTTTTTTAATATTTTGTTTCTATGAACGCGTGTTTGCATAGGGGCGTATTCAGAAGGTATCTATTGTTTTAACATGTGTATTTGGAAGTAATGTAAGTACTAACGAAAATAACAACCATAACAACCGTTCTTAAATTCATGTAAATTATAAAATTGATACAAATGCTCATAAAAATTTAAAAATTCCCCCTTCCTAAACATAGGAATTTCAAGTCTAATTTCAGACACTTCTGATCTGTCCCCAATTGTATAAGTACTTAAACCCTTCGTGTCAGTTTACAGTCACTAATAAAACATATTTTGACCACTGCTGTGAGGAACTCGGTTGTATTGAATTTACTTATCTCAATTATCCTCACAATTGTTTTAGTTTACAAAGTAATATAAATCATATAAAAAAATAAGAACGTTATTTCTTCCAGGGTGGCGGCGGGATAGTAAACCAGCTACGCAAGAGCTACAGCTTGAGCGATCTATCAGACCCGACGCAAGACGAAACCCACGATGAACCGGATACCTTAACAGATCTCCAAATGACCAGAAGACGTCGCAGTCCACACAGATCATCGTCGACTGCAGCTGTGTACTTTTCCGAAGTAGACATCAGGTCTGATCGAATAGGTCCCATACAATCTGCCGAAGATATTTCTTCGTCAGGGTACTCCAGTGGCGAGGGACTGTCGCTGAAGATCAGCGCCAGAGAGGGTATTCACCGAACTGGTTCGTTGACTAGGTCTAGGTCTACTAGAGTTACCAGGTCTACTGTACCTAAGAAGGTTGGCGCTAGTGATGTAAGTTGTAATTTTATTATTCGTTATGTAGTACAATAAAAATAGGTTTCATCAACAAAAAATTGATTTATGGAAATGGAAAAATTTGGTTGTTTTTCTGAGAAATATGGGTGCTATTGCTATTGAAATTATCTGAATTAGTCTACGGTGACAGTGCAGCCTATTATATTACTTTATAGTACCCTTAATGACCGTTTTACCGTCTATTATCTTGTACAGGTTCTGTAGGGTACTAGATGTTCTTGGATCAACTTGAGGTTTTCCAAAAAGTGTACAATTTAGCATTATATTCTCTATTCTCACCGTCTTTAGGTAACTTGAACATACATTCGTTAGCACAAGTATTATAATGTCTTTTTTACAATAATGCAAGTTGCAGGAGTAACAGATCGGGGCAAACAACCTACCTCTCGCTAGGTTTGATCAGCAATTTCCTTTTTTAATTGAATAAATACATAATATAATGTATTAACCTTGCCTATTTCGGTTCAGTAGCAAACATTCACCTGATTTACAGTATAATAATCATTTGTAACGTTAGCTGCAGAAATCACTTAATTTTTTGTTTAAAGGAAAGCGACGAAAACGAAGAATACGACACCAATGTAATTTTCCAGAAAGATTCGCCGAAGAAAGTGGACTCATCAAGTGAGAACGAGTTTTTCGATACGGTTGACATTCTGCATGAAAATTTCGATGACGGTCTCAATAATTTTAATAAAAACAGTAAGAAAACCCAGATATTAACTGCATGCGAAGGTACAACAGACAACTGTAAACTAATTAACGTTCCTTCAGATAACGCAACTATCTCAACAAAGGAAAAAATCCTAAACATGGAGAATAATCCAGATATTATCCAAATCACCAAAAACGTGACGAGTTTTTCTTCATTCATGCAAAATCTAATCGAATCCAAAAATGATTCAGATTCTAGAAGAGCTGATCTCACAATTGATACCTCCAACAATACCAAAGCAGAAATTGAAGAACCAACGAAGTTAAGAGGCGGTAAATATAACAAAAAACACGCTCCTCCACCCCCGCAACAACATTCTTCAACTCCTTCGATCAAAGCAACCCTGGTACTGAAACCTGGTAGAGTTAAAACTGTTGGATCAACGGAGTCACTTTGTAAGGAAATTTTTCTGAACGCACCGAAGCCTAAACGGCAAGCTTCCCGTACTTCTTTGTCTTCTAATTCTTCTAATTCGACCAGAAGAAAGTCTTCCTTTTCTAAGTTTCTAAGTTTGCCAAAGAAGATTGGTTTTTGGAATAAAGACGATGCGAATATCAATGAGAAACGTTCATCTTGGCATAGTTATTTGCGGCCGTTGTCTGATTCCAAAATGCAATCGATCAGTGATAATAATTTACTCAGCAAACGTACTGATATTGATCAAACTTTGCATGCTTCTACCGGTAAAAATGGTAGTCAGTTGTCTTTGAAATCTTTGACGGAGTCACCTTTGGCTGCTAGGAGGATTAAAATTATTAGAAGATACGTGGACGATGACATCGATTGATGTGGGAAAAAAAGGCATGAAGATTTTTTTGACTGCTTGAAACTAACTTTTCCGTTTTCGGTTTTGAACTAACTTTTTTGAGCATGTCGTTTTGTGTGCTGTAATGATGAAGCTGTTTTGATTAATTCCTATGTGACTACTGGCACCATAGTGCATACGAGAGTTGTTTCTTATAGTCTGCTTCTGATCTGATCAAAAATTGAAATCTGACAGACTTAAATAGGTCAGAGATGGACCATGGAGATCAAACCTCGTTACATAATGCGTACAACAATTATAAAGCGTTTGCAACAAGATTTTTAAACAAAGTTTTTTCCATATTGTAGGTCCAAAATAACTAATAAATACGCTGAGGGGCTAAATTTGGCGAATAGGGGAGACTCAAAAGTTATTAAAAGTCTGATTCATTCGTTTTTTGCACCATTTAATCATGATAACCAAAGCATACCGGGTATTTCGAAATGCATAAACAATTACCTATTAAAGCAGGGGTTCCCAAACTTTGTCGAGTTGCAGTGCCCTGCTGACAATGGACCAGTTTTTATAAAATTTATATTCTCCACACATTCTAACACTCGATTCAGTGCCCAGACAACACACCAAATCCCAGATATATCCACAGAATATCTTTTGTGGATATCCAATATATCCACAGAATATCAGAAATATCCCGTGGATCTAATATGGATATCCAAATGACCCTCTATATCCAGAATATAGAAGATATCCTATGGATTATCCAGCAAAATATCTAATGGGTATCTTCCAGACAATACAAGAAATCCCAAAAATATCCACAGAATATATTTTGTGGATATCCAATATATCCAGTGGATCTAATATGAATATCCAAATGTCCGTCTATATCCCAGGATATAGAAGATATTCACCAAAATATTTTATGGGTATCTTTAGTAGAGGTTCAGAAGTAACCAATAATTATTGAATAACGTCGAAAGAAAATAGCAGAAGCAGAGATAAAAAATATTTTCAACACTCAAAATATTTTTAACACTCTGCCTTTAATTTTGCCCACTAAGGAGAAAGTCATCCTTATTAGGACTCTTCGGCAATAAATGGAAATTCTCGACTCCAGTCTCTAATGGAGTCTGATTGCGAAACCAATTTCAATCGAACTCAATTAGGCGGGTTGAGCATGAGTAGATATTCAACGAGCGAAAGTGGTGTCGCCATCTATACTTAGTAAGCAAAATCAAAAATTATATCTAGTGGATATCCACCGTGGTTTGCGTTCGCGCCTAGACTTTGATATATTTAGTGGATGTCCATGGGATATTGAATACAGCTTAAAAAAATAATTTTAAATATCTGAACGGTACTATTAGCCACAATGGCGAGCACAATGGCGCAATTTTATAATTATTTGCTATATAATTACTATTATTTATGGACATTTGAATGTCTATAAATTACATCTCATGGATATAAAATAGATATCCACCATGGACTGGACATTCAGTGGATATTGGGATGTCCAGTAGATATCCAAAGGATTTGGTGTCCTGTCTGGGTTGTTTTTTCACTGACCCACTCATTTTGGGAAGCACGACTTACCGCTGAAGTCACACTCAATTTGTCGTCATTGACCAGATAACAAATAATAAAATCACAATTTTCGCACTTGCATATGCAACTAACAATAAAACAAAGTAATATTGACAAGGGGGGTAGCCATGTGTGAGTTGAGGTAATTTTAAGGTGAAGGGTGAGAAAAAGTCCTTTATATCTCACAAGGAAAGTCAATGTTTAATTGTTTAACAAAACATTGAGTGCGACCGGTTTCGAAGTGTCATCACTTCATCTTCAGGCTCGCCTAGTGGAAAGGAGAATATGTGGTGTAAGGTGTGTTAAGTTGGAAACAAAACGATATATAAAATAATAAAAAAGAGAAAACTCACCATACTCTCCATCCACTAGGGAATACTACAAAAACAAATTTCATCAATTTTACAATTTATTTCAACCCAAAATTGAATTAAACATTGACTTTCCTTGTGAGATATAAAGGACTTTTTCTCACCCTTCACCTTAAAACAAAGTAATATTGGTTGCCTAAATGTCAATAATGTTTAACCAAAACACAATTTTTGTCAAAATTAGAAAAAATATTGTTTGTATATAACACGTTACGAAATGCCGTTTTATGTAACTCGTTCACAGTGGCGGCTCGTAACTTGTGTAATAGGGAGGGCTGAGGATAAGAGCACCAAAAAATCAATACCAAAAAACATTTAAACTTATACCGTACACTACTTGGAATATGTACTGTAAAAAGAAATAAGAGGACCGGTTAAAGTAGTTAAAGTAGCCGAAAAAAAGGGCCTCATCATATTTTTTAATCAACCCCTGATCCTTCTACCGAACCACCAAAAAAAAGTCTCGGCTAAACAAGAACAGAAAAGGAGAACAGGTGGCAACCCTATCTGCATCTGACCCAAATTACTGATTAAGTATATGGAAATACTAATTTGCAGATGACTCCTGCTACTTCCCAGGGAGCTGCCATTGCTCGTTAATGTTGCGGGACCTCACTCTGCTCGTCTCACAAATATTCATTCGTTACATAATATAAGGTATTTTGAAACAGGTTTCATAAATAGCTATTTCGACACCAGTTTCATAATGTTCACTATTATGCCACTAGTTGCGTAAAGTAGATCATTTTGACACTTGCTGCGATTACAAAAAATGTTATTTTATATGTAAAAAATAAGAAAAAATCATTATATCACTAGTTGCGAAAAGAAAACAAATCAAAATAAACCTTCTGTTATTGTATGAATGGATAATAAAACTTTATTGAATTTAAAATACAAAATTAAATGTGAACGGACAGTGTGAACTTTTATTGTTTCTCGTTTCTAAAGATTGTTAAACAATGAGCCTAAAAAACTATATGATGACATATCGCACTAATTCATTGTAGGACCAGGAGTGTTCTTAATTCTAGGCCGAAACACCTTTTTTGGTTTTAAAATCAATATATACATTATTATTGAAAGTTTATATCAAAGAAGGGCAGATTCGGTTAAATTTACAACCTAGTAATAATGTTGTTTTGGTCCTTATTTTCCATTCTAAATTAGCACGAAATAATTAAAACACAATACACGACAAAATAACCCACTTTCTTGAAATCTAATAACTTACTCGTCCAGAAAATATTCACTCGTTACATAAAATAAGATATTTCGTAACTGTTTGCATAAGTATCATTGTTTATTTTACATTATGAAGTGCTGTAGCGCTAAGTTTAATTTCACTAGACATAGATTATCAAACAACTAACTGAATCTAGCCGGGAATGCTTGTTTATATATTTTTCCGAGTATTTTTCGCAAGATCTTCCAGAACAGTTTAAACCTGTTGCAAATAAGGGTTTACCCACCTTGACGTGCTAAGCCGGCGCCGCCACAAAAGAAGAGGAAAGGGACTCATTTTCTCTTTTCTCTCTCTTCACCGCGGCTTCGGTCTAGAACGATCCAGGGCTGGTGCTCTGTGTCATGTAGAATTCTACTTATTGTTTTCTACAATAGAAATCGATTACTTTCTTTTGTGATGAATACGTTATCAACCGCACGGGAAATATCGCAATGTGGTTTCTTATGAAACTATTTGTCCTGTAGTAAGTATATACTCGTTGGTTTTCCGCTATGTTACACAGAGTGCCACAAAAGAATCTATTGTAGAAAGCGGTAAGTAGAATTCTACATGACACAGAGTACCAGCCCAGTAGGCGCAGCCTTGACGGTTCGCGTTCTTAAGAATATTCTGCACCGGGGCATTTAATTTTTGAACATGTTCAAGTTCCGTGAAGAGGCGCATAGTTTGGGAACCACTGTACTTAAGGAATGATTTTTTTTACATTGCTTTTGAGTATTTTAATTATTCACCTTAAATCACGTTTAAATCATTTCATAACCCAGTTTGATTGCATTTTACAGTTTTAATCTGTCAATGAATAACCTCATTTTCTGTTACAGGAAAGTACTACTTTACCCAGGACTAAAAAACCAGTCAAAAAGAAAACGTTATAAATTTTGAACAGTACTATTTTTTTAGGGCATTATTTGTGATTATGTTATTGAACACTTCTTATAAATAGGTATAAACCATGAAGTATAGCCAACGTCGCTTTGAAAGACGTTGTTTGACAGATATCGACCTATCAATGTTTTATGTAATGACTTCCAAAATACGTTATCAAATTTAAACTTCATGGCTTTTACAAATAGCTAATATTCGTTTGTTGAAAATGATGGCTTTAATAACGTTCCATAAGAATATAACAGACGTGAGACATGTTTGTATTTCAAGAATAAACAAATTTTTTTAAGAATTAAACACACCAAACTGGTTGTAAACGTAGTAATAATCTGAAAAAGTCTGTCAAACAAAAAATCATACCAACTGTCAGTAATTAAAATCACCAAAGAAACTTCTTCAATTGTAGTTGGCGTGGTTGCCAATGCTCAAAATGTATCCTTGGTATTTTTTTATTGAAAATATCCACATATAATACATTCTGACGGCTTATTAGAGTTTTAAATTTAATGTATATCTGTATAAAAGCACCTATACAAAACAAAGGTATAGTAAAAAGAGTAATTTCAGCCATTATTTTCACATTGAAAACTTGTATTAGTAAGAATTAAATTTGACTCTAGGCCTATATATGCTCTAGGCACATGCATGGCAGAGGTGTTTTATTTTATTTCTACAGTTTTTATTGCGTAATGCATAAACAAGTATTGTATCGTTAAAGAAAGTCTGTTCGTTCTTATCTATGTTTGAAAATTACGAAATTTGATCCCTCCACATAAATACAGGGTGCACCAGTCAAACCTGCAATTTTGAAACAACTGTAAAAAACACACAGTTGCATTTTTAAAAATTTTATTGATACCATGTTAATTTACGTTAAAAAGCATTACATAAACATTATTCATTTAGAAAGAATATTATTAAGATGTCGTCCATTTCGATCGATGCATTCTTGGAGGCGTTTTCTAAAATTGTCCATTACATTACGGAGAATCTGCTGAGGGATTCTTTCGATTTCCTGACGGATTCTCGCCTTCGGTTCTTCAAGAGTACGAGGCCGTTCTCTGAAAACTTTATTCTTCAGGTAGCCCCACAAAAAAAATCACATGCGGTGAGGTCGGGTGAACTGGAGGGCCAAGGAATGGCTCCGTTCCGGGATATCACCCGATTTGGGAAAAATTCGTTGAGCAGATTCATGCTCACACGGGCCGTGTGGCTTGTGGCTCCATCTTGTTGAAATATGGTTTCATCATTCAGTCCATGTTCACGAAGACGAGGAATGAAAAATGTTCGCAACATTTCTGAGTAGCGCTCCGCATTCACGGTAACAGCTTGCCCCCTTTCATTTTCAAAAAAGAATGGACCTATGATTCCCGTTGAACACATTGCGCATCAAACTGTTACCTTGGCCGAATGGAGAGGCTTTTGATGGAGTTCTTGAGGGTTTTTATCGCTCCAATATCTAAAATTTTGTTTGTTTACATAGCCGGAGAGATGAAAATGCGCTTCGTCGCTCATCCAGAGCAACGTGTGAAGGTCCTCGTTTTCCTCAATCATTCCCAAAAATGTTTCACAAAAGTGCCGTCGAGCAGCGAAATCGTTTTCATTTAGAGCCTGAACCACTTGAATTTTGTAGGAGTGATAGTGTAAGTCTAACTTCAAGACCCTTCGGAGACTACTGTTTGAAATTCTAAGCCCAATACTGTGTCGACGCGCTGATGTCCGAGGACTTCTTGTCATAGCGACTCTTACGCGTTTAATATTCTCAGGAGTTCTTACTGATCTCGCACTGCCACCTCTTCTGTTTCTCGTTTCACCAATGTTTTCAAAATTTTGCGCCCATAACTTTATTGAATTAACAGAAGGCACGGGCGGATTACGATTAATTCGGAAATGAAGACGAAAGCGGCGTCGAGCGGCTGTATAACTACTGCTTAGATAAAATGCCTTTACAGCAAAAGAATGTTGTTGCTTGGACCACTGTTCCATGACTAGTGAAATGCTTTGAAAGGGGGAACATAACGGTGACTTTGACAACTCGCCCCGCCCACTTCCTTGGCTCCCGCGCTTGTTTCAAAATTGCAGGTTTGACTGGCGCACGCTGTATATTTTAAACTTTTATTAAAATAATTGGAATGTGTACTTATTACCATTTGTTGTGTAAAATTCCAAAGACTTAATAATCAGCTATGAATCTTTTAAATTTTAATGTTAAATGTTAGTAACTACAGAGTGATGCAGGTATTTTATATATTTATAATTTTTGTTCCAGCTTTAAAACTTAAAGAATTGTACCTATCTACTATCTAGAAAAAATAAAATGGAAGGAACTTCAAAAATGTATCTAAAGTAGGCCATGGAAAAAATCACTCATGCTAGAGCTGTCAATTTTCTTTCATGAATGACAGTTTGTCACGGTTCACGATCTACTTTAGAAACATTTTTTGAATAACACGTTATATATAAATTATTTTAAATTGTTATAGACCTGGAATTTTTAAAATCGCTCTGTAGTATTTCTTCCAAATGACAAAATCGTTAAGATTAGTGACTATCTTTTAATGAAGTGTTAAGAATTTGTTAAAACTATTGTGAACTGTTAGGGTTAGTTTTATTGACAGTTTGTGAACGAGAATGATTTTAAATGATAAGTTTTTATATTTATTGATATTTTTGACTTTTTATTGTATTCTAAGTATAAGCAGATGATGTATCATTGAGTGATATTAGTTCCATATCCTATTTAAGTAATTTAATTTTGTATATTATTCAGCTGTACGGTCTTTAATAGACTTTAAGTGATATATTTATAAAGAAAAAATTCTTCATTACAACTTTTTATATAAAAGTATAATTTTATTATATTCTTAAAAATAAAAATCTTTTTTCTGGCAGATAACTCTGAAAAAATAGAGATTGATGCTTCAAAATCATATTAGGTACATTAAATCATATTTTAATGCCATCGTAAGAGTACGAAAATCATTTTGGCTGTCACTGTCAGTCTAACACATTGTTAGTTTCAAGTTGGTAATTATTTACAATTGGTAACACTGAAAAATAATAATAAAAGAAAATTCTTATTTGCCAATGTCAGTTCAATAACAATAAGTTGGCATTCCAAACCAATAAACTGGCTTGAAATGCGACTCTATGGGCGCAGACAGGTTATTTTTCATCTCACTCCGGAGTATGTATAATAATCATTTTCTATTTCACATTGTTATTGTCTGATTCTCCATCTTGTGGACTGGATAATAACAACGTGAAACAGAAAATGGTTATTATAAATACTTCCAAGTGAGATGAGCAATAAAAATGGCTGTGCCTATAGGTCGCACCTAGTTCTATTAATGCAACATGTACATTGGCATTCTACCACCCTCCAGTTCATTGGTCCAAACAAAATGGTTGCCCGTAGGTAATGACAGGCTACTGATAGGAATGGTATGGCAACACCGTGATTTGACAAGGTCAATGATATAGATAGTTATATAGATTGATCATCCATGTTTTTAAAATGGTAGGTAATTAGTTTTTTAATATATTCAAAGTTTGAAAATTGGTTTTAAAATACATTTTTGCTAAACCTATTCAAATTAATGAGCACTTGCCAGGCAATATTGCTGCTTGCAAACGACCCGCTTTGAGCAATCTATATAACTATATCTATGTGTAGCATTGACTCTGTCAATGACAACAGGTGCACAGGGCTGCCATATCTAAACTGTCATCAGGACAGGGATTCGTATGTGCGTACTCAACACGTAACGAATCAAATAGAGAGAGGCATTACATACAAATCGCTTTCTGTCAAACGAAGATAGAAGCTTCTCAACACGTGCAGAATTGCAAGATGAGAATCCCACTACAGTTCCCACTTGTCAGCATATTGACAAGTCGTTGAAATGCCTAATTGGCAACACTGACAGTTTACAGTTGACAGTTATGAAAGATATATTTGTAAATAGTTGGCTCATGACATAAATCAATTTTAAAGTTGTTTTTCATGATAAAGTGACTTCAATGTTTGTTATTATTTGAAATGTTCACGGCAGCTGATCATTTGTATATGCAAGAAAAGTTTGAATGAAGGATTTTTTAAAACATTTACTTTTAACAAAATGCATGTTACCTATCAATAAACGTAAATTATTAACGCTGGTGCTCAAACTATGTTCCGTTATTGGATAAACCATTACTTTTTAGCATTACTAACGTTATTTACAACAAATTATAGGTTATGTTTACCGAAATTTACTCGAGAGACTTTACATACGGTATTTCAGGAAGTTCGATATGGGTCGGATCCGGAGATGGTAGTGGCCGTGGTAAAATATTAATTTGACCATGATCAAAGCGGTTCTAGACTTGGTCTCAGGTGACATTGAAGCCAATTGGTTTATTGTATTTTACCCATTGTTGGTCCATAGTAGTGGTAATTCTGTAATTCAATATCTTTATTTTTAAAGCGTGTAAAATTTTACTTTTTTAACATAAATTGTAATTTTGTAAAAATAAAATTAAAAAAAAAAAAAAAGAAATATACGTTAAAAGTAGTTCAAAATATGATTAAGTTTTAAGGTCGGTCAAATAAGTGTCATTCTTTTTTCTTATGTTTTCGAACAAGAATATTGAAAAAAGTAGCGACCGAATGTAATTTTCAATAGAAACAAAAATAAAGCCAGTAATCTTAATAGTGCCCTTCTACGACAAATCAATCACTAAATTCAAAAAGTTTATATACACTATAAATAAAATATATTTTCTAAATAGAATTTGTGTAATTTCAATTATTAAAATTACTTGAGAACTTTCAGAATGGTTCATTTTAATGATTTTCTTGCATTATAAGTTGAATTAAACAATCAAAAGTAATAATTTCTTATATGTTAAGTTTTAAAGCCTACTAGTTAGTACCTGTTAATATCATTGATTTAATGCATACAATTAACACATTTATAATGAATTTTTAATATATTGCTGCTCTTAGAATAGATTTTTGCAGCACAAATGAACTATTGTGTTAATTATGACAAGTTAAAATTGTTCATGAATTTACAGATTTGCTTTTCAATTTTAACATTACGTTATATTTTTAAGGTGCGTTAAATTTTAACATAATCCTTATAGAATTACCACTAGTATCTACTCTGTTACCTACAAGTTGTCCAAAGACAAGAACTCTTTGTCTGTTTCTGGTTCCTTGTGACATAGTGGACACAAAATATGGTTTCCATTTTAAACACTTTTTTAAGCAACATTTTACTAGGAAATTATCGATGTTTAAGTTGGTATCACTGGGTATATGACACAGTTACAATCCTGCTACACCAACTGGTGGCGCGCGCATACCATCCTTACATTTTGTCTTGCAGTTGTACCGGGGATTTAAAATGTTGCATGTTCCTGTTCGAAATAAACCTCTAAATACATTATAGTTATCGATAATTTTTAACATGGTTTTTCTATGAAGGTTTTCCCAAGTGCTTGTTTTGGGGGATAGTTTTCCCATAATTGTTGTTTTTTTTCCCAATTCTGTATTCTAGTAAACCTGTACTGTACTTTTTGGTGCTCCTAGATTTGTGGTATTGTTGAGTTTTAGTATTTTGTAATTTTTAAGTCCCTTATTTCATATAGTCTATACATATATTCGTTTGTTTGTTTGAAGTTTACAAAAATATACTGACAGGATTATGAAAATTAAAAAAGCTGTAATTTCATATTATAATAGTTTTGCCGAATCCCTATAGGTTATGGGCCCAGGTGCAGTAAATTGAATAAAGTTGGACATTACCTAGAATACACGGTTGAGTTAAAAGTAATGGAACTGACGAAGGTACAAATTGAATTACTAGAGGGTAAAACAAACTGGTCAACGTGGAAGTATAAGGTCAGCGTGCTACTTAAAGGTATTGTTGACGCAATGGAGGTCGTAGAAGGAACTTTAATAGCACTAATCAAATTAGAAGAAGCTGCGTAAGAGGAAGAAGTATCCAAATTCAACAGATTGCTAAATGAATATAGAAAAATAGAAAATAGTGCTATGATTATATAGAGAAAGTAAAAGTTGGAAAGGCTTTTGGTAGGTAGAGAGGGGGTAAACGTCAAACCACGTCGGACGGCTTCGAGAATTTCGCAGTAATGTTTACCTGCCAGTGAGTGTCGTTCATAGAATAAGTAATTTTAAATTTAAAATCACCGTCAAGTCTGGAACCTATTTTCTAGGTATAGAAATAGAACAAAGAATTAATGCAATAAAAATTCATCACCAAGCCTATACTATAAGAATACTAGAACGTTTTAAAATGGAACTTTGTCGACCTATAGGTACGCCCATTGTAAAAGAAAGTTGAAGATGAAGAAATTAATTTTCCTTATAGACAAGTAGAGGCGGCTCACTTATGCTGTTGGAGTAGCTTCCAAAAATCTAAAAAAATCCTACTAAAACAGATGTGATTAGAATAACGAGACTATTACTACAAGGTAGTAAACATTTTGATATAATATATAAATCGAATTATGAGTGTGGCATCCTTGAAGGTTACAGTGACGCAGATCATAGCGGAGATAATCTGTCTGGACGATCTACTTCTGATGTTCTTTGTTTGTTTGCAGGAGAACCCGTAACATGGCTAAATCAAAGACAAACGTCTGTTGCTATTTCAACAACCAAAGCGGAAGTCGTTGCAGCCAGTAAAGCTGCACGCGAAATATTTTGGTTTAAATGCCTTTTCCACGAGTTGGAAAATTTGACTAGCCTTGCAGAACTACAAGTTGATAACGAAGCCGCTATTGGAATATCAAAAAATCCTGAATATCATCGACGTACAAAACATATAAGGATAAGCCATTTCTTTATACGCGAGCTTGTAGTAGAAGAAGAAATCTTCCAAAACCAAGATTACAACGGTTGATGATGAAAATGGGACTAGATGTTTGAACATTTTAAATGAGGGAAAGTGTTGAGTTTTAGCATTTTATAATTTTTAGGTCCCTTATTTAATATAGTCTATATATTCGTTTGTTTGTTTGTTTGTTTGTTTGTTTGTTTGTTTGTTTGTTTGTTTGTTTGTTTGTTTGTTTGTTTGTTTGTTTGTTTGTTTGTTTGTTTGTTTGTTTGTTTGTTTGAAGTTTACAAAAATATACTGACAGGATTTTGAAAAGTAAAAAAGTTGTAATTTCATTTTATAATAAAGAGTTTTGCCGAATCCCTACAAACTTTATTTAACAAGAGTTTAGACTTCCATCTGCTATAGGTATTTCTTCTAATACTCGAGCTATTAGCAAGTTCGTCAGATTTCTCATTGTCCTTGATTCACCAATTACTAGGCAGTGTTTTTCATTTTTCCAGATTTCTTGAACGTAAGAACACGATAAACATAATTGTATCTATGATCAGTTTGTGGAATCAATGTTGTATTTCGTCTAAAAATTTAATATTGCTGGTGCTAATGAAAGTGATGGATATCCAGTAAGCTCACTGCATGCCAAAGACTGTAAATATTTCATTAACAGTCGGTAGTTAATAAAGATTAGATAAATCCTTTAATATTATTTTGATATTATTCTTGCTGTATTTTTTTGTAAGTAGATCAAATTTAAAATAAATGGATCGAATTATTTGCCTGGCCAAATCTTTCTAGATAGTAAATTGTTTAGAATAATAAAATAAAGAATATGACAACAGTTTTTATTTTTGTGTTTTATTTATATCTGAATATTACTGGTTTATTTTGACTTCAAATTATTTTATTAAGAAACATTGTTACACATAATTAATTCCATTGGCGTACTTAGTCCGGTAAGCACAAAACTATCGAGTGAATATTTATTGCATATCTCAATTGCATCTTGCTATATTCCATCATTCCATATTCATTTAAATACTGCCTCTTTTTTAAGTTAGTTTTATCCCAGCTAGCACAAAAACATCCCATCTACGTTAATAAGCTGCAATTTTAGGCTCTTTAAGCTCGCATGCAATGTACTGTAAATGTAACCCTTATCTCCCTGCAACTACCGAATGTCCGCAACGGCAAGACTTTTATAGCACATCTCACAGAAGTTACAAAGTGAAGTTCAAAAAACATCACACTAGCACTTTTACGGTACTTACCCCGAAAGTTGCTCTGAAACGTCCTATTGATGTTATAATGTGAATTAGATCTACAGCATTATACAGTGTGTCCACGGATGGGCTTAACTATACTTGTGAAAATATTTATTTTAAATTAAAAAAGTAATTCTTCATAATTTCTTGCTTGTTAAATAAATTCGATTCACATTGAGAAATTATGAAAAATAACTTTTTCTTTAATTTAAAATAAATATTTTTACAAGTATAATTAAGTCCATCCGTGGACACACATTGTGTAATGTAATACAGAGAGGCTGAAATTGAGGCTATAGTAAAAATCTCAATCGAGACATGAAAATTTCAAATAAAACAAAATATTTATATAAATTTATTATTAAAATGTTCTTGAAATCAAGTACCAATAGCACAAAAGTAGAGGTAGGTGTAGGCGTGTTCTTTTATTCAGTGCTGTATCCAGCGCTTGCAGCAAACCGTTCGTAAATTAAGTGATGGAAAGACGATTGTATGTGTCAATCATTCTTTTTTCCAGCGGTGAGTTCACCAATGAGCCAAGGCATCCATCGGCTTTAAAAGCCGATGGATATGTGATAGACGAATGGTGAGGATAATCAATCATTTAAGTTAACCTAAAATATAAGAGTTCAAATATAAAACGACTGCAGAATAGATAAATTACATCAATCACTGATGGAACAATTATTGAATAAAAGAACACACCTTATATCACAAACACAAGTACACATGTGGGATAGAAGAAGCTACCTAGAAAGCACTGAACGATTAGACAAAATTAGCTAAATAGTATAATAAGGTACCAATATTGCAAAGGTTCACTAAAACCTTAAATGGTGAACGATGATAAAGCTAGATTGGTGAAAAATAATAAACGAATACAACAATGACTAGGTACATATTATTATATTAGATTACTAGAGGATAGCTAAGTTCGCTGATTTCTTACCTAAGACGCAGAGATATATCTTTTTTAAATCAAGCCTTTTAACTTTTTTTGCATAGATATTTTATAAAGTGCTATAATGTAACCTAAATATGACAATTTATTAGAAGAGCATAAATTATATTTTTATATAAAAAGATTTTACTTCTCAATACATTGAATAAAAAAGAAATTGATAACTTTTTTACCTATTATTAATTAAAGGAAATTATATAGAAATTAAAAAATATGCCTTACTTTGTTGTTTTAAATAAAACAACCAATGTTAGTGTATTGAAATTTGTTTGAATTTTACAAATTTTATGCTTGATTTCCAAAGTAGATATATCGATGGCTCAATCAAAAACCGCCACAAGTCAAAAAACAAAGCAATTACATTTTTGGTTCAATGGATGCAAAATATCATTACGGTTTTACTTTAAATACCACCACAAACAAAAATATCCTTAAAGATAAATCATTTAAAATGTAGCCACAAACTGTGTCTAAAACTGCCTCAATTCGAGTTATTTTCTTCAAAAACACCCAAATTTTTTACAACTATGCAACAACTCACTTTTATAATCGTAATCATTTTATTTAACAGCAAAATATCGAAGCTTTTAAATAAAATATAAAGAGTATGTCAAAAACAAAATAATGATAATAGAGACTTACAAAATTTCAAAATGAAATTTCTCGAAATAATAGTATTTTAGTTGTGGCAGTATTTGATTGAGCCATCGATATGTAGATTTTATAAAAAACAACTGGTGTTTTTTAGCAAGATATTCTATTATACTCGAGAGTATCATCTATGATTTCTCTCAACTTTTCTGCTGGGTTTTCACTTGAACTGATGGTTGCATTTCCAGGCAATCTAGCCTGTTGAAGAGAATGAACTGCTTGAATTCTGATATACCTGACATATCATGTACCTATAGATTCACTTTTTATAAAACTTCAGGTGTTATATTCTTCTTTACACTTCTGTAGTATTTACTTTTGCTTCTAAAATTCCTAGAATGTCGAAGGAAACCTAAAAAATAATATTTTTAAAATGTATTTTTAGTTCGATAAAGTATAATTACCTTTTATAAGTATTTGGTGTAAAATGTTGCCGGACATTTGGTTAAATGTTTATCTTCTGGTTTACAACGATTGATCTGCAATTCTTTGTTTTTATTGTGGTTTTTTTTTATTTGGTGTCATCGGCATCGACTGCTAAAGATACTTAATGAATGAAATAATAAATTTACACCAGGCATTGTAATCTGAAACAAAGACAATGGTTTAGAAAATAGTTATCTATTTTATAGAGGACCCTTACCAAATCTATTCGAATGTATAAATAATAATTATTTATAAAATAAATTCTGGATGTCGAAAAATAAACCATTAAAAAACACAATTGACAAGAAAAACTGACAAGCGACAAATTGACATAAAACTAAACGTTCTGAATTCAGATTTGTAATGTTCACGGTAGGTTAACTAGGTAAATAACAAATAGAAGTTTTGCGAGGTTTTGATTTCCCTCAACAACTTCTCATGAACGTTGCATTTACGTTGTAAAGTAATGTTATTACGTTCCCTTAATGCAACATCGCCGAAAGGCTTGGCAACGTTATGTGCTAGCTGGGATCGGACTAACACAACTAGGTATACAAATCTGATAATTACTTATATTCCACGTCTTGTTCTTAATGATCATACGTAGTACCCCCTTTCCCGTCGCTCTGATGCCACGTATTTTAAAGTCTAAATACTCAAAAATATTTAGAAAGTTCCAAAACAACAACTGGTCTTACCAGTCCTTCTCACCTCTGCTCCCATTTCTTTGTACTCAGATGCACTCTTAGGTCATTCTTTCTTTTCTTGAGCAAGTGGTTACACGTAATTAATTTTTTTTCATTATTAATTATCAAAAATATATAAATGTGTTAATCAAAGGAGATAACTTTTACAATGGGGGAGTCTACGTCCTCCGAGGATTATAAACTTGAAAACTGTATTTTAAGATGGCGACGATACGCTGATTTGTAAAGAGGTACTGGACTGTATAGTGAAAGAAGAACTTTAGTCTCAAGATAAACAACCACGCTCATGCCAAGCGCTGACAGATTCAACCAACCATCCGCGAAGTACTACTCACGTGACAGCGTCTACCGCAATTTGTGACGTAATGCCTTCGAAAAAGATCTGTACATGCCAGCTTGCCAGAGGCTTACTTAATTATGTTTTTTAAATTCAGTTATATGTTGAAGGCTTCTTTAACCCAGACAACACACCAAATCCCAGAGATATCCACAAAATACCTTTTGTGGATATCCAATATATCCACAGGATATTAGAGATATCCCGTGGATCCAATAAGGATATCCAAATGTCCGTCTATATCCAGCATATAGAAAATTTCCTATGGATATCCAGCAAAATATCTAATGGGTATCTCCCAGACAATACGCGAAATCCCAGAGATATCCACAGAATATCTTTTGTGGATATCCAATATATCCACAAGATATCATAGATATCCAGTGGATCTAATATGGATATCAAAATGTACGTCTATATCCAGGATATAACCAATGGATATATCCTATAGATGTTTAACATATCCAATGTACATCCATTATTTGATATATTTAAGATATTATATGCCTATATGGTGTCATATATTTATTGCTTCATTAATTATTTTTTTTTAAAGAAGTGGAACAATCTACGTATAATCTAAAAACATTCCATATGAAGAAAATCAACATTTCAGTAGCATAACATCGGAACGCCCTGTATTCTAAAATTTGGTATATACACCCATACAAAGTTTACTATTCCAGTGTTAACTATTTTTGATGCTACATAGCATAGGTATAGCATGTAGAGTAGAAACCCAGCTAGCACATAACGTTACCAAGCCTTTCGGCGATGTTGTTTTAAGGGAACATAATAACATACCCATACAACGTAATTGCAACGTTAATGAGAAGTTGTTGACAGAAATCAAAACCTCGCGAAACATCTATTTGTTACTTACGTATTTAACCTGCCTGTTATGATAACACAACGTAATTAAGTAACTTGCTAAAAAAAGTTTCCACGAAAAGTACTATGGACTTTCGAACGTAGCCATTCGTTTGTCATAACCAACAAAACATAAAAAAATGTCACTTGTCACTTTTTCTTGTACGTATTTCAGATTTTAAAGAAATTGGAAACTATACGTTTGAATAAGTTTGGTAAGTTGTTTTCTTCTTTTCAATAAATTTTCTAATTTTCTAATTTATTGTCTGTTGTTTTAGATGGTAAAATTTCAATTTCCAAATACAATAAAAAATAAATCATTGTAAACAAGTAGATACAATTAAATGATGAAATATTTATTTTACACGATAATAGGGATCTTATTGATGCCTTAATACTATAGAAGTAACGATATTAAACAATGAAAGTATCGATATTTAGGCACTGAATTACTGAATTACCAATACTATCGCCATAGTGATACTTAGAAGCAAGTATTGTATCGCTATGTGTGTGGTCAGAGATTATAAGGTTTGTTCAAATATTTGTACTGAAATATTTTAGTTTTTGCATGTGGTGAAACTTGGTAATATGATTAAGCGTTATCACTGTTTTTTTGT